AAATAAATTAAAACTTAAAACGGAAATATTTTAGCCGATGCGAGTAAAACTCTTTCCGCACGAAGAATACGCCCCGTGTGGCAGCTAACGGTTCAGGCGTAACTTCCCCAAAGATACAACGGAAAACGTCTCTAAATCTGTAGCACACCAGATTTACGAGCTCCGGTGAACTGAAACGGAGTCGAGAATTGAGCACTTAAAAATATGAATAAAAATATCTCTCATTTGTTATTTTGATAACAAATAAATATTTTTATATATTTTTTTCCTATTCTTTCTTTCTCTTCTTTTCTTCTGTATATTTCTCCTGTCCGAACTCCCCCTATTTATAGGGAATTGAGCATATGGGGGACATCTGTAATTAGGCCAATTGGCCAATAATTTATTTATTTATTTATTTATTTTTATTCATGGGGCGGTGGATCTAGATCTGTACACCANTTTTTTAATTAGAGAAAGTGGGGCGGTAGATCCGCCCCTAATTTATACTTTCACACACAATCCCCCACAAAAGTGTACATTAGATATATACTACTGTGCTAAATCCTCACAAAACTCTATTGCCTCAGAAAAGGTAGTTTTTGGCTTTGAACATTTTGTAGTAAACATCATCGGATGCACTGGCGGCCTAGTGGACATAATGCCTTGAACTATTCCTCCATAGTGTACACCTAGACAATGACATTCACACAATAGAATCTTAACTCCATTTCGTTCTATTGTTGTGTCCGTTTTGGCCATGGACATCACTTTGGATTCATATGTGTCTACATTTGAAGCGGCCCACACTTCACACTTATATAGGTGACCTCCCTATCAAGAGTATCCTGTATTACTCCACCTTTACAAGGTTAGGGATTCATTAAAAGTCCACATGACTTACCCTCACCACAATCAACAGGTCATCTTGCACTTGGAGTGCTCAAGGGAATAGGACATTCATATGTTCCAAGTGCTCAACTGAATTTTCATAGCTTAGTTTTCCCTTTGAACCAAGTTCGTGGGATCTCCACTTAGCATGGTAGGGTTACCACTATGATCATTCTTTACATTGTGGATTTTTAAGCCCATTCCCTCTAGCAGAACTCCCAATTGATCTCTACTTAATCCTTTCGTCAAAGGATCAGCCAAATTTTCCTTAGACTTTACATAGTCAATGGAAATAACACCACTTGTGATCAATTGGTGTACGGTATTATGTGACGAATATGTCTAGACTTACCGTTATACAAGTTGCTTTGCGCCCTACCTATAGCAGCTTGGCTATCACAGTGAATCATCACAGGCGGTAAAGTCTTATCTCAACATGAAATATCGGATAAAAAATTTCTAAGCCACTCGGCTTCTTCACCAGCTTTATCTAAAGCGATGAACTCCGATTCCATAGTTGAACGAGCTATTTGTGGATTTCCACGAAACTGCACCTCCTCCAATACAGAAAACATATCTGCTAGTGGAGCGAGAATCTCTCGAATTTGATATCCAGCTTGCATTACAGTACCCTTCAAGTACGGCTAGATATCTCGAGTATTTTAGCCCGTATTCAAGAGTGTACCTTAAGTACTGAAGTACCCTTCTCAAAGCATTCCAGTGCTCATGACTGGGATTACTTGTAAATCTGCTCAACTTACTCACCGGATAGGCCAAGTCTGGTCGTGTACAATTTGTCAAGTACATCAGACTCCCTATTATCCGTGAATATTCCAACTGAGCCAGTGGTTGACCTTTATTAGCCACCAGATTTATACTTAGATCAAGGGGCGTCTTACACCTAGACTGTGCACTGTCATAAGAATTAAATTTCTTGAGCACTTTCTCTACATAATGAGATTGAGACAAGACAATTCCATCTTGGGTTCTGATAATCCTTATTCCAAGAATAACATCAGCCAAACCCATATCTTTCATGTCGAAATTTCTCTTCAACATTCTTTTCGTATCCATGATCACTTCATGGCTACTTCCCATGATCAACATATCGTCTACATATAGACATACAATCACAAATGCATTCGATGTACTCTTGACATAAACACATTTGTCACATTCGTTGATTTTGAACTCATTTGATAACATTACGTTATCAAATTTCAAATGCCATTGTTTCGGAGCTTGTTTCAGTCCGTACAAAGATAAACATCATCAAGTACGTAGGGTTCGACTTCCCCGAAACTAGAAATAAAAGTCAACTCTAACATAATAAATAAAAATAAATAATAGATAAAAGAGAGAGATTAATTATCTCCCTTGTGTATGGGTGCAGCCTCCCTCCGCGATTGCCGAATTCCTCGTCTCCAAGTGTGTGCGTCTGTTCTTTTTCTCTGATATGCGGGTTTCTTTTCTCTTTCTGTTTCTGCGTGATATTGTGTGGCGGCTGCTTCTCTGTACGAGTTCTATTCTGCGTGAATAATTCCTTAAGTACTCCTTGGTGGTTAGCAAATAATTCCTTTCCAATCTTTTCCTTGGTTGCGTGGCGTGAGCTTTTTGGTGGCTGCCAATTCATTTTTTGATAATTGGGCTCATAAAATTCCTTGGCCCACTAAATCTCCATTCTCCCAAATCATGAAGTGCTTTAATTTAGACCAACAAAGAAATTGACCTTAATCTATCCCATAAATGTGATTTAACTTCTTCAATAAGTGGACGTGAAATGGGCTGAAACTGGGCGCAAATTGGGCAGAAAATCGGGAAGGAATTGAGTACCCTCATACTTCTCCTAGTGAAATTTCATTTGGTGCCACGTGGCCCACAAAAATACTCTAATATCCTAAAAGTAAAATATAAAAATGTCATAGCACTCAAATCCATCTAAGAAATAAATGAGTCGAAAAATATATAAGTGCGATAAAATTAAGCATATAAAAATACGATAATAAATATATAAAAATACACGCTTTTCTGACCAATCAATATATCTTATATATTTACTTATCATATATGCCACATGCATTAATGAGCTTGATTCTATGCCATAATTAGTTTTCTCTTTCTTGTAGGACAAGGAATAAGTGGCAATGACTATGAAAGGATAAGCAATTCGTGCATAAGGAGTTCTGGACATTCATGAGAAGATCTAATGAGGATTTGGAAAGATTCACCACAAGATCTTTGAAGATTTGGAAGATCGGTTATTTTAGGAAAGTCTTGTTCTTACACGAGTTGAGGAGAGATCAAGAGAATATTTACTTTCCATGTTTCCACATCATACAAGGAAAGAAGATCTTGAGAGAGAAGGAAGAGTCATACACTTACCATGTGACTTTGGATAAACTTGGAAGGAAATAAAAAAGAAGTCTTATACTTGGAGAAGACTCCTCACCTAAGGAGTTGCATATATACTCTACTTTTAGATCGAATAAAGGCTATTGAAATCATTATCTTCCATTCAATATTCGAGCTTCAAGCCTTTTTAGGTTTTATTTTCATTGTTCAGTTTTCAGTGTTCTTACGACATTGAAGAACTGAAGTTTTTGTTTTGATTCTTTTATTTTTCATTCAAATACTTTTGTGATCAGTACTTAGGGATTAAGTGTTGTTTATAGCTCGAGGGATTCGAGAGTTAAAGTCCACGGGACGTGGCCGGAGAAGTAGTTGGTAGATTCGAGTGTAGTTGTTGGTTAGGCTAGAAGGGAGTTCTAGTTGCTGTAATTCCAAAATTATACGCATGTGCACAATCGAGTTATCAATGAAATAGCTCTGAGGGGAAGTAAGACGCTTCCTAAAGAGTTTTTTTTTAAATCTTCGATTTATTGCTTCCGCTATTCTAGTTGTTTATTTGTGACGTTGAACGCACTCATCGTAAAATACCTACGTTTCAACTATAATCAGAAACGCAACAAACTATTTGCTAAAAGGAACGAAAAAGGGTGCCAGTGCCAGATTTGTGTACTTATTTTCTTTGCTGCCAAATAACAAACTGGAAAAGCAACAAGCAAGAATTACCTATTTTAATTTTTGTTTTCCCCTTTAGCTGACTTGGTGTATTCACTGAAAAAGGTGGGTTGTTGATTATAAGGCTGCATACATTGATTTCTCTAACCAGTTGACCACAACTTCTCAACCAACAATTAATGCACCACTATATATATAATATCAAAACACGATCAATATTCTCAAATCTCTCTCCATCCAAGTTCATATCGGCCGAGACGGGCGTATCCACACATCCACGGAAAGCGACATGATGAGGCATGATAGGACGAGCATGTTCCCCTGTGCACTCGTGCACCGTGTCCCAATGGACCCTCCACAACATGCTCGTCCTATCTGCCTCATCATGTGGTTTTTGGGTTGACGATATTGGTGTGCGGCTTGTTTGTGGTGTGGCTGCCGGACACGAAAGGGAAGGTGAACTAGCTAGATAATGGAGGAGGAAGATGAACTGTAAGGATGGAGTAGTTCAATGAAAAAAATAAAATAAATAATGGGGTCAGAAATATTGTTCTGTTGTGTATTTTGTTAGGTGAACTATAGTGATTTCTTTTTTTATGTGTTTTTCTTCTTTGGCCTAAAAAATGTTTGTTTTCTGGTAAATTGAGAATTTGTTGAGGTTTTTACATAAAAAGAGTTGCCATGAGGAGTACGTGTACGTATGTATACTTTTCTACACACTCGTAGTCGGTAACCGAATTTCGGTTACTGAAAACTTGGTTCGGTTCCGATTTTGAACTGAAAAAACCTAAAAAAAAAGCCCAACAGCATTTCCCACGTCCCAGGCTCCCAGCAGCAGCAGTAAACAAGTAAAAAAACATGTCCCAACATCCACCATTCATTCATCCACAATATAATAAATTAGGGCAAACGCCAATATAAAAAATTAGGACAAACACCAATATAAAAAATTGTACACTGTTGGAAGGTAATGTTGATTCAGTACTAATTAAACCTCATCATCTCTCACGGCTGCAGGAAAAGTGAAAAGAAATTGCACTATTTCAATACTTACTCACCTAAATTTGTGATGCGTTGCCGGAGAGAAATCAACTGAGAAGGTAAAGACGATGGGCAGGGCAGTTTGCCGGAGAGAATTCCAGGCGATTTTAATAGCTGAGGCGATGGCAGGGCAGGAGTGAGGAGAGGCTTTGCCGTTCGCGAGAAGAGTTTCTTTCTTCCCTATTGGAGTGAGGAGTGGTCCGGTTATAAAGTTCTATTTCACATAAGGTTTTTTTTTTAAAAAAAAATAAAAAAAGCAAAAAACAAAAAAGTGATCCAAATTCAACTGTTAACTAATAGTCTAATTAAAACACTAACTATGTACTAAACAAGTTTAGTCCTTTTTGAATGTAGCTAGAAGGAATTCTTCCATGAGGTCTATGGGTGATCATTAGTCAAGTGAAGGAAACCACCTAGTTTTTTGGTGTATTTTAGGACACTTGATGTGCTCCTCATGGTCTTGTTAGACAGGTCATTGGGCTTCTTAACCCCAACATTGTTCTTTTCAGTTAATATAAATCATATCGTCTCCCAAAAAAAAAAGGCTACAGGGTATTATTATTATTTTTTATTTGTAATTGTTTCGGTTCGGTAAAACCAACCCTTATGGTTTCGGAATCGATACCGAACCGACAGCAAGTCAATAACCGATAACACACAAGAGTCGGTTCGGTTCGGTTCGGTTCGATTCGATTTTCGATTTTTTGTCAAAAAATACCAGCCGAAAGTGTGACAATTATATTATAATATTCAATGAGAAACAAAAATAAATGAAGCATTTAATATTAAAATTACATTTTTAGAGTTGCAACTTTTTCTTTTGCCTTATGCTGTGTAATTTGAGAGGTTAGCTGGAATGATTATTTGGTTGTTTTTTTTTTATTACTTCTATTTTTTATAAATTTGCAAATTTTCTGGTTAAAATGAGTTTTGATCACTTGAAAATCAAACGATTAGTCTTAGAATGACACAAACTCCTTTTACTAACCAAAAGTTCTTAGTCTTTGTTGATAAGATCTTCATCAATAAAAACAAACCTTTTACCTCAAAATTCAATAAAGGGGATTTACTAATCCCTTTTCTTCTTTGATTGATCTAATCCCTTATCTTCTTTTTATCATTCCCAAATCATTATAAGTACGCATCAATATTTTCATGAATATTCCTAAATTCATGCATGCACATTACATAACATATTTAACACTTAGCAATGGCTCTAGCTATATTTCTCTATGTTTTTCTCCTATCATTTCATTTTCCCTCCACCCAAAAACCAATCTTATTATTATTAGCCAATGCCGATGATAGCCTTATCAAAATCCAATGCCACAATGCAAATGCCCCAAAAACGTGCATCGAGTGTCTGAAATCCGACAATCGCAGTTTAAATGCCGACAAATATGAAATTGCTACGCTTGTGTTGCAGTGTCTAGAAAAACATGCCGATAGCTTAGCTGCAAACATGTCGGATTTCGCTAATCGAGCTTCGCATGATAGTGGCTCAAGAAAAGCTTACAAAGATTGCAAAAGCTTGTTCTCGAAAGCAACTAAGGAGTTAGAATCCGCGGCTAAAGAAATCAAGAACAACGATTATGATAGTGCAGATAGATTCGTGTTCAGAGCACGTATGTGTAACTTACAATGTTATGGTAACACTGAGAAAGGTAAGGATGTGGGAATTCCGATTGATGTTAAATCGGAGATGATGGTCTTTGAGCAACTTTCCGAGGCTGTCATGAGGATTATTGAAAGGTTTTAGAAAGTTATATGTATATATGAAATGTTAGTCTTATTGATATGCGTGTCACAAATATGGCCATTTTGGTTAAATATTGTAAATTGGATTTTGCTATGAGAAAATAGACAATTATATAGACTTTTTGACATAATATACATGTGGCACGATGAGAAAATTACATCATTCATCTATAAATTTCTTTTTATTGTCATATATAAGAATTTTTTTTTTATTTTATTTTTATTGCAGTTATATTAACTTTCATTAATGTTTATGAATAGTTGATCTGCGATTTACACTACAAGAAAATGATGAAACTCCAACGGAATTATATTCCAATAGAATCCCAACGACAATTTCAATGTTATTATTTCCGTTGGAATTATTCCAATAGAAATTCCAACAAAAATATTCCGTTGGAATGAGTTTTCCATTGGAATTTCCGTTGGATTTTGACGATTCCAACGGTGATGAAAATAAAAATTCCAACGGAAATTACATATTCCAGCGAAAATTCCTACGATCAAAAGTTGTTGGAATCATCAAATTCCATCTAAAATTCCAATAAAAAATACATTCCAACGGAATATTTTCGTTGGAATTTCTGTTGGAATGATTCCAACGGAGGCTATACCATTGGAATATCTGTTGGAATTTTCATTGGAATATATTACCATAGAATTTTCCGTTGCAATATAACATTTTTTTTGTAGTGTTATATTTGTATTTGAGACCTAAGTGGCATTATGTTTTGGTTTATAACTCGATGTCTGGTTTTATTTTTAGTTTCATATTTTATTTAAAAAAGTTTAGTTCAAAAGTAAAAGAATCTTTTAAAATCATCACCTACATACAATGGAACTGGACTTGATTTCAAAGGCGGGAATATCATAAGTGTAATTGGGCTACTGGTTCGGAAATTGAAACGGGCCAATTTTGCACGGTTTTGGTTACTGTTTTTGGCCCAAAAATCTGCAAACTGAAAGTTTCTATCAACAAATCAAGATCTCGTGATATTTCAATTACACATCTACAATATATTATATGTTAATCTCATCTTACATCAATTAATGGTATAATCATATAATTTTTCATTATTTATACATTGTTATCATGGATTATACAAAAAACAAGATACATTAAATTGTTTTTTACATTAAATTCTTTATTTTACAGAATTTTTTAGATTCAATTTACGCTTTGAATGATACAATTGGAAGTAATTTAAATATAAAGAAAGGAAATAATAAACTGATATCATCATCATAAAGCTCCATATGGATACCTAATCTTTTTTTTTTCCAAGGCACACAACCAAATTCATTAAAAACTCAAGCAACTAGTGTTCACGGTAACCAAATGGTTACAATCGTATAATCCTACAAATGTAAAGATTATCGGCCAGAGCAAGGTAATACCTAGCCATACAAGGCTACCAAAGCCATAAAATCCTGAAACAGGTAATAAAAAATTGTTCCAACATAAACATTACATTGAATATCAAATCTCTAATAGTAGATAAATGTGGACACATCACTTCCTGCAATGACAAGCAACCAGAAATCTCCTCCACCAAATCAACAGAATGAGGTGAAAGAAAGATTGTTGAAGCTATTGTTCTTGACTATGGACAGACCCCAACAGACAGCCATCAACCATCCATCCCTTTCCTGAGAAGGTCCATGTAATGTGTCCTGCCACTGAATGGTGTTTGAATCTTCAGGATAAAGAAACATTCCACAGCAACCTCTCCAACATTGGACAATGAAGCACTGAGAGTCATCGCTGACTGACCTACTTCCTTGGAAAAATCATCCCGTTGAAGGTGTACATGAGGTTGTCCTCTTCTACTAGTTAAACTAGCAGATTTTGATGATGTCCATTCCAACCACTCAGCTTTTGCTTCTTCAACAATCTGCTGATCATGGATCCAATCTCCCTTGTAAAGCCATTTATTTCTGGCTTTCCACAAATGCCAAAGCAAAAAAGCAGACAAACCAAGTCTTTCTTCTTTCATAACCAATTGGTTAGCACAACAGATATGAATCCACCATTTTTGAAACTCCATAAGATCTGAGTGTTGAGAACACCAACTAATACCACAAAATTTCCAGCAGTTTTTAGCCCTCTGACAGTTGAACAAAATGTGATACAAATCCTTCCAATACTCACCACATATAGCACATATGGAGTCCACAGACATATCTCTTCTCAGCAATTGATCACTTGAACTTAAATGCCCAAACCAGCATCTCCATAAGAAATTTTTGATCTTTGACTTTATATTCAAATGTCATGTTATCTTCCACATCTTTGATATGAGTGCTGGATTCATAGTTGAGCTAGCCACGCCCTGCATACTAGTCTTTTGCTTCATAATGGCTTTGTAAACCTCCTTCACAGAGAATAGACCTTTTGGATGCCAGTGCCATATCAATTTGTCAGGCCCACTAGAAGCAGATAGAGGGATTTTTGCAATGACTACTGCAACATCAAGATCTAAAGTTTGACAAATTAAATCATAATCCCATTCTCTTCTACCCTCTCTCATGAAATCACTCACCTTATCCAACCTAATCTTATCACCAGAAAAATGACACTTAGGTTTAAAAGGAGGACCAGTAGGAATCCAGGAAGAATTCCATATAGAAATTAAAGATCCATTCCCCACTTTAAACCTAGCACCCAAGTGTAAGAATTTCCTAACACTCAACAAACATTTCCAAAGCCAGAAATCTTGAGGCTTGGGAGACACATCAAGTAAGTCATTCTGTCAACAATATCTACCTTTAGTCACTCTGCTAACAAGCATGTTAGGCTGAGTAATGAATCTCTATAATTGTTTCACTAATTAAGCATCATTAAAAGCAGTGAGATCCTTAAAGCCCAAACCCCTTGATCTTTGTCTCTCACCAACTTATCCAATTCCACCCAATGAATCCTATTCCCTCTCATTCCATTCTGCCCCCACCAAAAGTCTGCAATGTCCCTACAAAGATTTTTAACAACAGCCACATGGACTTTAAAACAACTTTAATCAAAACTTCTTTGCCCCCTTCACTTAAAAAATTATTCTTTCACTTTTTAATTTTGTTTTGCACACAGTCACACAAGAAGCTGAAAGTCTCTCCCTTATTTTTACCAATGCCTAAGGGCAGGCCTAAGTATATGGAAGAGGAAACCCTAGAGATTCCAGCCTGTGCATTACATATATTGACACAGTGACCCTCCTGCATGTTTTTAAAGAAAAATATGGAAGATTTATTTGCAAATTGGAATTGAATACAGGTTTTTATAAATTGGATGGTACGTGAAAAACGGATATGGGCAAATCTAAAGATTCTATTGAGGGATTGAATAAAAACAAACATTATGTAATTAAATATGGAATTGAATACAATTTTTTAGGATTGGATTCTAATCAGCCGCATTATAAAGATTTTAAATAATTAAGCCGCACGAAAAAACTGGCTTGGACAGGATTTAACAAAAAAATTCAAAATCATTCCATTAATGGTATAAAATCAAAAAATGAGCGGGAAAATGACATACTATATTTGTATTTTTTCTTCTCTCTATTATATAGTAATAGATTTTCAAATCAGATTTAATCAAAAAGATTCTTTCCTTATATAATTTTATTAACATTTGCAATAATTTTATTGATATCCATTATGATAAATTATAATTTGATTTTCCGTGATTCATGTTGATAATATTTTGGTCAACATAAACATGAAAACAAATTTTAAGTCTTAACTATATTATTATTTTTTTCACAAAGGTTGAATTTCATCCTAAAATATTTGAAAACAATCGTAACATGTTAAATAATTTTCTCTTTCTAACTGATTAGGCGAAATCAAGTTGGTGAATTAATATTTTCCGATAATATCTTTTAACCTTTATTTAATTATATAAAAACAAATAATTTTTAAAATAATTTTCCATTTAAGAGATAATGATCACATCATTAAATAATTTTACTAATATATAGATAATAAAATTAAAATATATTAACTTTTTTTTATAATGTCAACATGTGATTTATTTGTGTATTATATTATCAACCATGATAATTTTTATCATTTTTTTTTATTTTTATTTGTTCCCATAATGAATTTATTATAAAACATATATTGGTTCGGGCGATGGCTCTCAGCTTTCGTGACAGTTCTTTATGGCACTGGTACTTGTATCCATATTGCATAGTATGTTAAATAAAGGCTTAGGATGCAAATTATAAAAAGATATCTTAATTATTACGGTTTATTATTTGGCAATTGCTAACTCAAAATTTTTTAATTATTATGAAAAAATTAATTCCTATAAAACATGTGTGTATTTTGTAAACATTTATACACAAAATTTTATCTTTAATTTTATTATATAACTAAGAATAAGTAGACTACTTCTATAATTTTATAAATAACAATAATGACGATATTTGAAAACAAATATTATAATAAAATAATAATTGAGTATTATATGGTGAACAAGAATAGGTATAATATTTTTTTCTTATATCAATGAATAAATATATATTCTTAAATCAAATTTATATTAGTATACCGTGTTAGCGGAATAATATATTAATTAACATGTTAACGTTGGCAAAATTAAACATCATTGATTAAAAGAAGTGGAAAATTGATGATCCAACTCTAGAGTACAAGCCCTACTAAAATATGCCTAAATGTACAAGTTCTATAGAAATAACTCATTTAATATATGTGTCATGTGCATCGTACGGACTATGCACTAGTATATATAAAGAGACTAACCATTTACAAAAAATAGTAGCAAAAAGAATCTTGGAGCATTAAATACATATCTTCTTTGAAAACTTTTAAAATATATGCATTAATTGCTTTCATATACATAATTTCAAATCAGAGATGATCAAAAAGAATCTTTCATTTAATAATTTTATGCATTAACTTTGCTGATATTCATTATAATAAACTACAAATTTAGCTTTCCGTGATTCATATTGATTATTTATCGTTATGATAGGTATG